TCCTTTCCATTCAAGAAATGAACAACACTGGTGAGTGACATTTTTTAGTGACCCTTAATTTTTAATGCTATGCATAAAAATAGGTTTTATTCTTGTACTACATTGATATGAAATTGCATTTAGTGTGTAGGTTTTGCCATTTGATGTGGCTCATTTAATACAGATCAATCTCAGGTTGTATTATGTGCATTGCAGAAGAATCAGATGCTGCTTATAGCTGTAGAGTGTGTTGTGTCCCAATCAACTTTTCATGCCAGAGATGTGATTGCATATATGTAACATGTTCATTGAAGACATACGTTTTTTCCACCAAACTACACAACCATGTAGCGGTTGCAGGATTATTCAACTGTCCACTGAGACTACCTGGTTGAATTATAGAGAAAGATAGTTGTCTGGTTTAATACAGAAAAACTTGAGAAGCAACATGTTTACTCAAACAGTCTCTCACTAACTTTTGTCAAAGTGCTTCTGTTCTGTTCTGTTCAGACAGTCTGGATGTGAACCTAGAGATCATATTTTTACCACAAAGTAGTTGGAAAAAATGAAATAATATATGAACAGAGATTGAACTAAAGAGGAGAGACACGACTCAGGACATTTGGATTTCATTCTTCAAGACTGTGGTATTGAATTGTATCAAAGAACAATCTCCAGTGGCGTAACATCTTACCTGCAGGGATACAGATGGCCACCCACTCCACAGTGTCAGTGTACTGTGACATCATTGTTGGGTGTGTTTACAGGTGCAACAGAACACACCCATCATCACTGCTGCTGTCAAGGAGTGTGAGCCTTCAAACTTTCAACAGGGGAGGGCAGTGCAGCACTGCTTTTTAGTCTGACACTGAGTTCCTGTTAAAGGTAACACTGAACCTGACTCAGTGGAGAAAATCTGAATGAACAATACACTGTTTTTATATGAAGCATATCTATTAAAATAAAATAGGGGTGAGTGATAAAGCAAAGCGAGGTATCATCATGTGTTGGATTCAGTTCAGAAGGTAACTGACTGCATGAATTTATATTTTCCTCTAAATAAAGGAGCGTTCCAGTTTCCCTGAATCTTTACAACAGAGGTGAAGAGTTGACACATGAGCTCCTTTCAGACAGGCGCTGCTCTCCGTTCACATGTCAGCAGCTCAGTGTACCGGCTTCATGTCTAAATGAGGACCCTGCTGTCTTTGAGACATTACAGAGGTTGCTGTTTGATTTCATTTGGAAACCAATAACCACTAACCACGTTTCCATATTTTTCTCAAGAAATAAAATTAATTAAAGAAAACACGAACTAGGCTAATTTCCATTAATTGCTTTTGAGTTAATAACCTGGGCTTCATAGTGTCACCAGAAGGTGGTGGTGGAATAGTCTACGTTATACATGGCTGCAATAAACAGAGTCAAAGTATGTAGGACAAAAGCCCTTATAGAGCCTGTACTGTTTAATACCATGTGTATGTAATTATTTCATCAACTATTTTGTCACTATACTGTGCCTTCACATGAGACACTGTGACGTATGTGACCGAAGTGTGGAGAGGACTGTGGGTCAGAATAGGCAGAAAAGCATCCTGGTCTAATACATCAGAATATACACAAAAATACATGAAGCCTTAGTTTAATCTCTTAACCTGCCAGTTTGTTCTTGTAAAGTAAAGTCCTACAGTATCTATTTTAACCCAAACCAAGATATTTAAACCCCAAGTTTGAAGCTCTTGACAGTTTGAACATAGAAGAGAATCCATGAGCACATTTAGGATTAACACAGACAATTCCTGATCAGTCAGTGAGATGAGAGAACGAGACGAACAGACTGCTAATGATCCATCTTTGTTGTGTTCTTACAGGTTCACCTACATAGATGATCCAAACTACGGCCCATCCCTGGAGTATGTGAACGGTGTGGCTGGAAATGAAGACGATCAAACCTTCTGGGAGGTGCTGGTCAAGAAATCAGATGGCCAAATCATAAGACCAGATGGTGGTAAGTTCATTATGAAAACGCCCGTCAGTGATTGTAAGCACACGTTAATTCAGTTACAACACAATATTTAATACTGTTTGCAGGTATTGCATATTACATTCCCAGTGCAAACGACCAAATCCACCTGGGCTTTACGAAGTGGTAAAGATTCATCAGGCACTATACAACCACATGGAATCAGAGCCAGCGATGGAATCGACTGTAGACTAATCTATTCCATAGATGAACAACATGTAGGTGTTTGTTGTTGAGTGACGGTGATATCAGAATAAAATCTCCAACCACGTGTTGTCTTTATGGTCTAAAGGGGGAATACAGTGTCTCAAGGAAACAGCTGATATTATTGTGCTTTAAATGAGTGACTTTTTTTAAAGCTGTGAGCACCACAAATGAAATGTCATTCTCCTCCATTGCACTGTGGGTGAAGATACGAGGATAAAAGAAACCAAATCTGGCTGCATTGCCAGATGGGCAAGAGACAAAATCTGTTTTTTGGTTGATTTGAGTGAATTAGCTCTTTGAATTGGACTGTAAAATGCTCCACAGACACCCTGCTGTTTTTAAAGGGTCACTGTGTGTCTGTAGATACATGAGAATGAATGAATAAAATATTTATTAAAAACAAAATAAAAAACAAGGGGGAAAAATGTACAAACATCAGTTCAAGAAGGAGCAGGAAGAAGTATAAACGTACTAACTCCCATCCCCTTGTCACCTTATTATTGACGACAATATTACATGTTCCTATATATAATAAATGGATTTAATATAAAATATGCATCAATGTATAATCAATTAACTGCATCGATATACAGTATATAATTGTTATATATATATGCAATAACTGCAATGCTCCTTGCCAGTTTAGATTATACATAGATTCATATCCACCTATCATCTATACACCACTTAATCCTCACTAGGGTTGCGGGGGGACTTAAGCCTATCTCAGCTGACTCAGGGTGAAGGCAGGGGACAGGTCACAGGTCTATCACAACATACTCTCAGACATTTCCCATGTGAAGGTAAAAGTTTATGATGCCTGCATCAAAGTGTAATTAGTTGTTTTGAATCTTTTCACTACTTACTTCACCACAGTGTCTGCACTGTACTACACTCTATAGCAGGACACTGACTATAGTTTAAAGACAGAGTGTTTTCTGGCAGACTTCACTCCTCCCTTCATGGTGCTTCTACTTCTTTGGGAAGTTTGGTCCATAGATGAGGTGCATAGTAACTGAATGCTGCTTCACTTTGCTTGGCTTTGGTTCTGGGAACACACAGTAAACCTGTTCCTGATCACCTGAGGGGTCTGGCTGCTTCATAGGGAACCAACAAGTTCAGGATGTATTTTGTTCCAAGAACATTCAATGCTTTAGGAGATTTTTTCAGTCCATGATTTGAGAATTGGTGTAATATGGTCCAGTTTGCTGGTGTTGGTAAGGACTCTGGCAGCAGCATTCTGGACAAGCTGCAGTTGTCTGATGGACTTTTTGTTAAGACCTGTAAAGACACCATTACATTAATCTCACCTGCTGTAAATGAATGTATGAACACATCTTTCTGTGTCTTGTTTGGACAAAAAAAGCTTTGATTCCAGCAATGTTTTTCAGGTGGTTGTTCAAATTCAGGTCTGAGTCAATAATTATTAGAGAGAAGATTGGGGCCTAACAATAATCACTTCCAACTTGTCTGCAATGAGCTGGAGAAAATGTTGGCACATCCACTCATTGACTTGATGGATACATTTACTCAGTGAAAGCAAGGTACTGTAGTAATGTGATGACACTGAAATGTAGAGTTTTATGTAATCTGCATCAGTATGATAAGAGATGTTCTAATGTTTCATAATGTGAGCTAAGGGCAGCATGTAGATATTGAATTGGAGTGGTCCGAAAATGGATCCTTGGGGGACTCCGCATGTGATCTTTATGTTCTCTGAGTCATGATTATCAATTGAGGCAGAGTCGGTCCCCTCTTGCAGATAAGATGTAAACCAATTTAGCAGATTTCCAGTAAGTCCCACCCACTTTCCCAGTCTGGCGAGCAGTATATTGTGATGGACTGAGATGAAGGCAGCACTGAGGTCCAGTTAAACTGAGACAGAGGGTTTGGATGTATTATTATTCTGACGTATGTCGAATAAAAGGATGCATTGTATTTTGGGGGTCTTTCAGGAGGATTTTACCTGAAGGGCAACATATTCATATGCAATTTCCCCTTCACTTGGCTGACAGAGTAAGACCTACTGCACTGTTATCTTGTCCTAAGCAAGTTTCAGTTACAAATATAAAATCAAGGTTGTGCTTTAAAATTATTGATTAGAAGCGATTTGCCTGCCATGACCTGATTTTTAAAAGAACTAAATTTAATATGTTGAGAATCCTATCTACCCCATGCTCCATGACACACTGTGCAGGACATGGAACTAATGTTAAATTTGAAGGTCATACGTTTCTTCACAGGTGGAACATTCTTTTTCTTTTGCGTATCAATAGATGAATCGAAGAAGCTGGGCCCCAGTGCAGATCCCCTCGGGGAGAATAGGCAGACAGAACTGCTGCTTAGTCTGTGTTAAGCATGATTGTAAACTGAACGTGCTTCAGCTTTGCAATTGAATTTGAACAAAACATCAGGGCATCATCTTGGACTCAGGGAAACTGTGTTGGACATTTTTGCAATTTTCCAATAATTATTAAAATGTTTTCTTTTTTGTTACCTTGATAAGATGTCCATATGTTGTTGTTGTTCTCTGTACACGAGAAGACACATGATGAGCAACATAAGCAGTCAACACCATGGCTGAGTATTTTCACCTTGAAGCTGCAGTGTACCGACGACAACGCCACAAACACAGATACAGGCTTCCAGGATTCTCATCCATTACAAACCTCAGACAGGGACTTCATAGAGCCCCATGTTTTAAAGGAGGTAACAGTATATAGCTCCATATACGCTATGTTAATTTGTTATTTAAAGTCTGAGTCTGAAGCGCTATGAGATGACTTGTTGTAAATATGCGCTATACAAATAAAATTGAATTGAATTGAATTGAATGAAAAAAAAGTATATATATATAACTGTACTGTTGCTAGCACTAGGAAACGATGCTGCTTGCAAATAGTAATGTCCAATATAGTCATATTTAATAACATATCCATTAGATGGTTTAGATTTAGACTTTATTGTCCTCATGGGGAAATTCTTTTCCACAGCACTATTCCACTTGATTTACATTAACAGGACACACATTCTACAAAACACCGTTCACATATCGGTGTGGTTTTCACTCTGTCCAGACGACCTTGGCCTTTCATTAAGGGTTGCTATAATGGATGGCATGAGGCTTTTGCCTATTTGTGTGTGTCTGTATCTTAGTGTCCTCTATCTGTGTCCTGAGGGGAGGAGGGTGAGTTATGTGTTCAGTGGGTGTGTTATGTTCTGTTCTATTATGTTTGCATTTCGTGTAATGGCCCTGCTGTTAAATTCTGGGATGTTTAGTGTGGGAAGCCTGATTATTTTGGAGGCCATGGTGGTTATGCATATGAGTTTGGCTTTGTTTGCAACAGTGAGCATGTTGTAGAAGCAGGTGGACTAATACAGGAGAATGGACTGAATGATGCTTTGAAGGAGACGGGGGGGCAACCTAAAGTCCTCCTTTTAGTCTACGGATGGCAGAGAGTCTCTGGTGGTTTCCCCTACCAGGGGCTAATGCCCCAGACAGCATAGCTCCCAGGATCACAGGGACACTCAAACCCCTCCACCACGATAAGATGGCGATTTATTGAGGGGATTTTTTTTTCTTTTAATTTGGTCTCCAATTGTATTTTCAACGTAAGCTTTTTTTGTATCATTATTTTAGTCTCTAATTGTATTTTTAACTTAAGTTGTTTTGCTGTTTTATACTCCAATAGCAGTTTAAATTTGGATGCTTTGTTTAACTTGTTCTAATTGTACTTTCACATTGGAGTTGCTACGGTGAAAAAGTTCCTGACCTTTTTAATGATCAGGCCCATTTTAAAACGAGGTCTTGAGGATTTTTCTAGGGATGCGGTCCTCAGCTGTTTGAGCTGCTGCCCTCTGGGAGGCGCTACAGATGCTCCAAAGCAAGACCAACAGACTGAGGAACAGTTCCTTTCCGAGAGCCATCACCATCATGAACTCTCATATGGGAAACATCCTCTCTACCTCAATAAGACTCCTCCACGATGTGCACGATGTAGATATCCATCATCCCTATATAACTACTCATCATCTGTAGATATCCATTATCTCGTGCAATATTTCTTTCTTAAATCTGTTATTTCTTTTTATATATTTATCCTTTTTTATATTTATATTTAATTGAGAAATTTTGCCCATTATCTTGTTTTTTTGTTTTTTGTTTTTTTACTTGCACTGAAATTAGGAGGCGCTCTCCCGTCTCCTCCTCACTTCACCACACCTCCAGAACATCTTGGTCACTGTAGTCGGCGAAGGCACACTCAACTACAGCTGGGTGTTTCAACCAGCTGACATGTCCTCACGCAGACCTCGTTTAATCTCTATGACAGCGTTTATGCCACACATGATAATTAAACACGACTCACTTTCAGCAGTTCTGTCAGCCAGTTATAAAGGAGGCAGTGGAGACTGAAGGCACTTCCTGAACTCCTACTAGTTTCTTTACAACCACCTGAAGGTCTCTGACAGGGCAGATACCTGCACTGAATGAATGAATGAATGAATGAATGAATGATGTCATTATACAGTGCACAACTTCTTTTAAGGTAACGCATCCCTTTGAGTTGGTAAGCATGCACCTTATCGGGAAACTGAAGACCACCAAAAATGGCTGTCAGTACGTTTGCGTCGTGGTGGAATACGTCAGCGGTCCCCAACCCCCAGGCCGCAGACCAGTATCGAGCCACACAAAAAGAATAAATAACACATTATTTCCGTTTTATTTAAAATCTGAGTCTGAACGATGTTTTATATTGAAAAATGAACGTATTCTCTTCGTTACATTCATCTATGGCTCCCTCTTGATGCATGTCAAGATGCTTGTCTCAGTCATGTGACAAGCAGCGCTAAACATAAATCCACAAGCTACCATGATGAGTAAAAACCAGACGTCTTTGGAAAATTTCTTTGTGAAGGGGAAAAAGCCCATTGAGAAAACAGAAGAAGAGACTACGACTTCCAAGAAAAAGAAAGCTGCATTTA